GAAAGTTACTCACAAAAATCAAACTTTCCTGTTAAAACGGCGGGTGACAAAGGAAAAAGTTCATTTGAATCATTTAATGAAAGTGAAACTGAAATTGTTCCTCAGACTAGAGGTGGTTTAGGAAAAAGTGTACATTTAATCCCATTAGTCTATTATTCAAATGAATCAGAATCAGATTCAGAATTTGAATTTGTTCCCGACAATCTTGACAATCTTGAATTTGAAAAAATTCCAGTTAGGGGTAAAAGACTATTTTCTTTTCCACCACAGAATAATGATCCGGAAATCGAATCACCAAAAGAACTTTCTTCGGAAGAAGAATCTTTGAGAGAAAAAATAGATGAGTGCACAACAACAAAAATTCATGAAAAAAATGAATCAGAATTGGATGATAATTCGTCTATTTCAATTGTAGACAAGGAAACAGTAGAAACACTACCAAAACTTAAACCTGAAAGACCACTAAAAAATAAAATCGAGACAAATGAGCAACTGCAAACTCTGCAACTTGACAATTCCATGAATCAAGTTATTACTGATAGATCAAGTAGAGAAAAATCATTGGATAATCAGGATCGGCAATTAATTTCGGAAAACACACAAAACAACTTGGGGAATCTTAATATGCAAATGCCTATGTTAATAGAACACTGGTCTCCTTCCGGAATTGAAAATGGTTGTATAGAGAACTCAGTCGACCATTATTTGCATGAGCCCATCGAAAGAATGGAGGTAATATTTTATTACATTTATTATTGTAATTTATTGATTTATAACCATCGAATAATTCTATTAAAAAAAACCAATTGTTCTCTCTGCTAGAAAAAAATTGATACAATGATTCAAGATAATGGGTTAATCGAACCTTCGGCTGTTTTATGGTTAAATTCAACAAATAATAATAATAATGAAATCGTGAATGCATTTCGAATTGGAGCTAATGATGATCTTTTTATGGGTAATCAATTTTCAATGGAAAGTTCTCAATTCACTTCTAATCAAGACATTTCTACGGAATCATCAATTGCGGTACCAAATGAAATATTACTTTCTGAAGAATTGTCAGATTTGTCAAATGAAATTTTCGATTTTTCATTCTTTGATTCTTTGTTATTAAGTCAAGAAAATGATTTTATGGATTTAGATAGGAATCCTCTTTAAAAATATGATTTTAAATATATTCATTAAATCAAAATATATTATTAATGTAATATATATATATTTTCAATAAAATTTATTCTTATTATTAATTAACATCTCTTGTTTTCTTGTTTTTTTTGGTGACACATGAAAGCCACTATTTTCTTACAATAAAATCTTTTAAAATAAAGAAAAAGAATTGACTTTGGAGGACCTGGGCATCGATCCCAGTACCTCTCGCATGCTAAGCGAGCGCTCTACCATCTGAGCTAGACCCCCAGAAGTTGTTAATAGTTAA